TCCATGACATCATCCATAATTAGAGGAGCAGAAGCAGCATACTTTGCCGCTCGATCAGCCTGCTCATTTGCCAATAAACCGATGTGACTTGATATCCGTAACATTTTAATTTTTCCGTCGGGTGTAGTAATTATATTTCTTAGTTTCTTGATGGTGCTCCATCTCGAAGTCGAAGGGTTCCGAATAGCTTGTAATACAAACAAACTGTCGGTAACAATGACGGTTTTGAGTTTGCTTTTATGGGCTAGGTTCGTAGCGTGAAGGATAGCTCTGGCTTCGGCTGTGAACGTTGAAGTAGTTTCGTGAAATATGATTGAGAAGAACATGTTCTGTAGCATCTACCACTGCAGAAGCAGGAAGCAGGCCAAAAGATTTTGAGCCGTCTGTGTATAAACGATTCCAACCAGTACTTTCCAATACTTGGGTTTTTTCAGCTATTAGATTCCTGAAGACGTAATTTGGAGTATCTTCTCTTTTGTGTTTAACACCAAAAGAGCGGAAAATTTTTAAGGGAATATTCAATTCCTTTGCGACGTAGAAACAATGGTCAATTGCAGATGGGGACTTTGGAATTTTCTTCGCAATAACAATCTTTTTCACGTCATCACCGAGAATATATTTGTTTGAATTAAGAAGCTTGGGGACTATTTTAGCTTTTAACTCATAAAGTCTATTTTCTATAGTTGGGAGACCAGTTTTAATTATAATATTATTTATGGGCGTCGTCCGAAAAGCATAACAACTTGCTCTGACGGCTTGGTGATAGAGCGGTTTAAGGATGTTGATATTAGATTTGCAGCTATTGCCATAAATTATCAAAGCATAGTTAATTTTGTTTAACACAAGCATTTTGGTAAGATAAGCAATAGTGTTAATATGCGCATGGCTTCTGCAAGCAACGTACGGTATGAAATACACGCTTGTTAAAATAGAGTTTTTTAACCGCAGACAGTGTGCTTTCCAACGCTATTTGTTGGAAAAAGTGCGCCCGAGAACATGGAGCGTCTGCACATTTAGTACTGGTAAGTCATTAATTTGTATCAGTAGGTTTGCTGCATCGCACATTTGTTTTCGACAAATGTGCATTTTTTGTTGATTTTTGTATAGAAATTTTAGCCCCTGACGAGTTTGCCCATGTGGAGATCTCTCGTGCAATAGATTCGAGGATGTTGATTGCTTTCGTGTTGTCTTTTTCTTTTGTAAAAATGTATACATCGTCCGCGTAGAGACAATCTTCCACTCTTGGTACACGGCAAAGAATGTTGCTAATTTCGTTGAAGGCAATCTGGAAAAGCATGACAGAGAGAGGAGATCCTTGCGGAATGCCATTCATTAGCGGGAAAGAATCAGAGAGATGATTGTTGATTCTAACTTTGAACCGCCGATGCGGCATGAATGATTTGATGTAGTTGAAGAATTTATTTTAAAAGGAGCTGGATATAGTACAATAAACGACAATTGAAATTACTCTAACATTAGTAGAAGTGGTTGGATGCGTATATGGAACTCACATTTATTTTCAAACGCTCGCACACGATGAAGTGCTTTTCACAGACCAAAAAGGCAAGGAAGGCCTAGTGCTGGGTTAATCTACACATTCGTGTATGTTTTTTTATATTCATAGAAGTGATTTATTCGTAAGGCTGGCGACCATGAAATGAAAATAATGGGAGGTTCAGAAGAAGAAGTTGGAATGGCGATCAAAACAATACTTGGCTCCTCGATAAGCAGTGAAATAATTTAAAGCATTATGTGTCTTTCAAATCTAATCTTTCAAATATTGTTAAGCGAAACCGGATATCCGTTAAAGAGTTAGTTAGTGACATCGTACAAAAGACCAATCAATCGGAATTAAAAGAAATACAATGATATTCTTTGGAAGGCGGCGAACATTGTTTAGAAATGCATTGGTTTATACAGGCGTTAATATTACCTACTTACTTTATCATTAAATCTAATAGCAAGTCTGTTTATTTTCCAATAATTTTATGTTCCTATTATATAACGTTATTTGCATTAACAAATAATGAGAATAATGCCAATAAATTTGTAATATTTGAATATGCATTTATTATGTATATTTACCGATTATTTCTGCCATAAGTAGCTAAACGAAAAACAATAGCAATTTTAGCAAAGTTTAACAATTCTTCTAATTGAGGTAGAATAAAAGAAATATTTATGTTAGATGAAATCCTCGTGTTAATTATAATCATCATTAGATTTTCAGGTTGCATATTTTTATGTGTGGGCACAAGTTATATAACTAATTAGCGTATGCAACTTTCAGATACTTGATCACCTAATCTCCAGGGCTTGGAGTACAAAATCGGTCTGAAAAATTTGTATCGATAGGTTTCTTGCAGAGTTATTATATATATTATGTAAAGATTGCAGAGATCTTTTATTGTTATCAATGTTACGAAAACTAATTTGCTTACGTTTGACCCAGCGAATTACCGACATCACCTTTCAATCGGTTGCATTATCATCTTGACTAGTGTCTTCTAAAAGAAGCTGGCATTGTTTTGGATAACTATATCATATTTTATTGTTATTGCTAGTAACCAAAACAGTTACGTCACAAATGTTTGGGCAACGATGTAACAGCCGGTACAATAAAGCATGTTTTGACGTTTCTTTTCAATTTTAATAATTTTTAATGTTAGAATTAAAAAAGTTTAACAACGCTTTCGTGTCTTAGCTTTGAAATAAAGTATGAAATGCGTCCAGTTGTTTTTTTACAGTTTTAAGCACTATCACTCTTGACGAAAGACTTTAGACGCTTCGCCTTTAAACCAGTTCCATCCCAGACATTAAATTTATATACGTTATAGAAAGTGAAATTCGTAACACATCAGTCGATAATTTCCTATACTGCAGATCGTCATTTGTAACAAAATTCCATGAAATTTTTGGAAAAGCAGAAAACGTCAAACGACGTCATGAGAAAATTACTTTCAAAATGGAACCAACGAACCGCGACAACACCACGGGTACGCGAGCAAAGCTGTGTGAATTGATTTTCTCATTGAAAGTTACATAGAATAGGATTTTCTATCTTATAAGAATAGTATATTAGTGTTTAATAATATACGGAGCACAACATCTTTTTAACTAAAAACATCTGAGAAGCTATTTGTTAATAAATAAAATTATATGTACAACTACCTTGAATCTAGGATATTCAAAGTCACGAACGAAATACATGGAAGATAATGTTGTTGATCAAGAAAGATAACACAAAATATGATTATCTGAATCGCACTGCAAGCTCAAACATTTCGCCGATATGACGCGTACCAACCACACGTAAATGACAGCATTTAGAAAATACACTTTTATTTTATAAGTTAGTTTCGAGACCATAAACCAGTAGCCTGAATTAAAGCAAATAAAACTGTCATGTTACGCAAGCATGATTTTAATTTTTTTAGTGTAAAGCTAATTACTGATTTGATTTCGCGTAAATTCATTCCTTTTGCAGGAAGGCAGGTTTCAATCAATCGATCGCACTTGTATTTTCCGTTGTATCCCTTGTCTTTACTACGAAATATATCCGCCTGAGTAGCCGAAGGCGAGGAATCTCGACTAGCAAGTCAATGGTCGTTGGTTCGAAACTCAAATGCGGTAGAATTTTTAATAAAAGCCGATAGCCTTAGATGCTAGTGCATTTAAGAGTTTAGTCTTAGAATTTATTTCTCTGGCGAAATTAATAATAATAATAATAAATACTACGAAATATTTTGAATTTTTTTTAAAAAGGGGAATAGTTTTTTTTATTTTCGTTCAGTAGATTGACATACTCCGCCCAAAAATGAAAACTGAAAGTCAAAATTTGGTGAACTTTTCAGATCTTTTATTATAACAAATTGGTGTTTATATACTATAATACTAACAAAATAGTGCACAATAAGCAAATATAAAATGTAGTGAAATTAATGTTCTTAACCAATCAAGTAAATGCAGAGGGTAAAAGTGCATGTATGCAAAAAAAAAACACGTTTGTTAAAAATACCTGGTTGACCAATAAGGGAAAGGTGTTTAGTAAACAAAATATATTACGCTGACCAAAAAAGTTGTGTCTAGTATATATATGTCCTTGTAAAGAGAATTTTAACATATCTTGAATAAAACACCATAGAAAAGCAAGAAAACTGTCGCCGTGTCTCCGGACTTTCAACTTTCCAAAAACACATATTCTTTCTAAATGTGCTAAATTCTAGTAAAATCTTTGTTGACGGAGAAGAAATTTATTGATTAATTTTACATTTTTCGATTTTAATTTTACGAATTTACATGGAAGAACGTCTCAGAAATTAAACTAAGTATTTGTTACAGGCAAAAATTCTGATGTGATATTGCCATCATTCTGCGCTCCTTTTTTATGAGGTTTTCAAAATTGAGCATCTGAACGAATTTTGGTCAAAAATTTAAAAATGGTATCAATTTGGTAGCCATATTTAAACGTTCGTTATATTAACTTTCGATAAATAAAAATTACATGTACTTATATATTCATATAAGTAATTAGTATAATTTTGTATCCTCACCCGTTATCGTCCAGAGCTCTTTCAAGCATTCCTCGCGGCTTTTTGCTATTAAAGCTGCTTTGCTGACATTTTCCGATATTTCTATCAATGGAAATATCGTAGCGCCCATTATGGAATATATTATGACCATTGTCACCAAACCGGGTGTTGAAAATATTAGCTTAATCAAACGACTCACACATTTTTCTTCTCCCTCAACAATATCGCCAAAATGATAATTCGTCATTGTTGAATCTATTTCTGATGCTTTCCTCAGATGTTGGGAAAAGATATTCCCATTCTTATTTGCTCGGCTATATTTTTTCGAATGCTGATGAGGAATATTTTGCTTTTGATCTTTTTTTCTGTCACTGCTTGTAGTATGTTTTGAAAATTTTGATGCTCGATTAACTGAAGGTGTTGGCGTTGGCATTCGTTGCGGCTCAGACTGCTGCTCATCCTCTATTAAGCTAGAAGTTGCCTTTTCGCCGCCCAACATTTTAACCAACCAGTTTGCTTGAGTGTTTCTTTCGTGAACGAATATTCTGCCTTATATATTGAAAGAACTAATAATTTGGCAGATCGCTTCTCTTTTATCTTTCAATTTCATCGAATGGTCCAATTGAACGTTTCCTTTACATTGCCGATGTTCATAAATTTTTTTTTTGTAATGCCCCCTCTTTACTTTATCCTATTGTAGTATTTGCCGTTTTCCTTTGAAATATTAATTGCATTCGATTCAACATGTTTTCACCTGCAATTGAAAAATGATTATTATGCGTGGTACAGAAAATAAAATCCGGCAAATACATTCAATTACATTTAAAAATCCTTTGAACGCCCACAAAACTATACACTTTCGCATATTTTTTTAAGCTGTTTCAGGAGTTTAATTTAACATGGTATCTCCAAGCTTTTGAACTTGTGCTAGTTCTTAATTTTTGGTTGAATCTTTTTCAATTTCTCAAGAACAGAACACATCTTGTTGAATAAGAAAATAAAAAATTGATTTTTGGATAGCTCGTTAAAACGCTTGCACTCATCTACTAGAAGCGTAAACGTGAAAATATGCAGCTATATCTGAGTAACGAAAATAAAATTTGAATATTTATCTATATGCATTACTATTATTTACCAAACATGCATTTGTAAAGTAAGTACTTCGTTGTTGGGTTGTTGAATGAATAGAAAACAATATCTGAATCTATACATCATGACGTCAAAATATGTTTTACTTGCGGAACATAGAGTATATTATTAATAATAGTAATTATGAACGTGTATTGATATTTTATTTGCATCTTTTCAAAAAAAAATCAATTTTTAAAGCGATTTGAACCATCTCCCATACCATATCATTTCGAAGAACTTCCAACGCCATCGCCGCTATTTTCGAATTGCAATCTTTACTGTAAGACAGAGTTTCGAAATCGGGTATTTTTAATGAATTCCATTTCTAACTGCTTCATTGTTCATAAGGTAAAATTTTTTCATAGTAAATTTTCATAATAATAAGGTAATAATAAATTCGTTATATAACTTTGCGTGGATAAAATTATAGGATGCTTTTGCACATCAATTAATTTTTTTATGAAAATTATTCTTTAGAGTGAACAGCCGATGGTGATTCATTAGCGTATTATTCTAAACCAAGCCCATTTGTGTTTAAGAAATATGCTGAATTTGCCGCTGATGTTGATGTTGACTAGATCTAAAAGCGACGATTGGAAAGTTGCACTAATAAACCGTGTTTCGAAATTTCATCTTTTACCAAACCGATTAAAAATTTTTGAGCTTCTGAACGACTCAAAATTCTGAAGAGGATGACTTGCTGTTAATGTCATAAATAAATTGTATTTACTATATACTTCATGTACGGTCGTTAATAAGTGCATAATGCTTGCTTATTATATTCTGTATCGTTTGTGATGAATGGGCATATTAAGCTTGTGCACATGGCAATGTGTTTATTTACGGAAAACCATAAATGTTTATTTAAAGAAAAACATTTGATGGTTAAATCGAAATTTACATAGTTAGCTTATATTATATCAAATAACAACCTTTATAAAAGGCGATTGCATGTATTTTGATCATCGACATCCATTAAATTCGATAATTTTGACTTTTCTCTACTTAAAATAAGAGTTTCCCATTTAGTATTACTGAGTTTTTCATCATTCATTCATCATTGAGTCATTCTTGGAATGCTCAAAATTGCATTATTTGATGATGAATCAACTGTTTCCAGACGTTTGCATGCGATGGTAAAGATCCAAAACGAGGGAAAATGGATACCATACAAATTTACTGGAAATGCCTACTTTAAACGCCTTGTTTTACTGTTTGCTAGGCAAAAAGGAAGACTCTTATGTGGCATATGCTGACTTGCAATGAAAAGTGGAAGGTTCTACTATAACTATCCCACAAAAGTCATGCGTTTGTAATGTAAATAAACTTTTCTTTAAAAAAGAAATAGTTAAAAATCGAATTTCTTATCAAACATACCAGAGTAATTTCGCAAGCTATATTATTTAGGTCACTATAAAGAAAAGCAAGATATGCAATTGTAAAATAATAATATCCTGTTTGCATTGTAACACTGACATTTTCCAATGATTTTATTTGTTTTTGTTATTGTTATTCTATTAGTTATAAGAATTATATATAAGGCCCGACTAAAAATAGAGAATTAATTAGGGAGAATTAATTAAACAATCAGTAAAAGCATAGTGCATGCCTTTTTTAAGGATTACTGTTATTATTGTTTTGCTGAGATACCTGCACTTGACGTTGCGCTTCCCTAGCCTTTGCTTTTGACGAGGCTGACATTAGTAGGATAATAAAAGCAATAAATTTAAATATAATAAATTCTTTCAAGATAGTCCAGGAGATGCGTTTGCATTACAAGACTCGGCCATACGTTGTAAGAGCTGCCAAGGCTGCACTCTTGCACAAGGCTACTCTGTTACATAAGGCTACACGGATGAGAAGTTCTTCGGCACCTAGCTTATTCACTAAATGTTCCGAAATGCTGAAGAAGGTGATGAGTCTTTCGCTGCCATATAGGAAAGTGAGTAGGCAATTGTTTTTTTTTCTTTTTTTGAAAAGGAATTTTTTTTTGTCAATCGTGTTGTTCTGTTTTTGAGTGTTGGAATTTTGGAGTCAAGTTTTTTTTTGGATTTGTAAAAAAAAAAGGAAAAAAAGAAAAAATTTAAAAATTAAAACGAATGTATGGATTTTGGAATGGAATGTGCGCAATTTTATTGCGGACGCATAAGAAAGGATGGATGCCTTATTATCCAGACTTTAATTTACGATTAGCCAATTCCGGATGCACAGACTACTTCGACTTATAAGCAACTTTTTTTCTGATATATATTTTTCAGCGAGCAAGTTAGATTTTGTAAAGAGCCCTTTAAGTATGTTGCAGCCAAAGCATAATCGCTCTCTCAACACGGTATCATCATATTGCCAGAAAGGTAAAAAACATTTTGATTAATGTATATTGTACCAATTTGTTTCAATAAATGCCTCTTTCATGTGAAAAGATGATCAAAATACATCCAAGCACCTATTATATTAAGTTGTTAATATTTCCTTGCATTCATCCTCTGACATTTTTCATCTTTACAAGGCGCTTGAAATCTTACATGTATTGATTTTGTTGCATTTCTGGAGTCATATCATGTTTGTGTAGTAGTTTGTTAACGTAATTCCTCTGACAAATGCTCATCACTCCACGCCATTTAATTTAGCATTCCATTCTCTTATTGGTTGCTTTAATCCATCTAATACTTTTTTTAATTTTTCAACTTTCTTAGGATGTTCTCCATCAACAAAGTATTCAGGTTCAGTTGTAAATAGCCATTTAAATAAGCAGAACAAATGTCTATTTGATGTAAACACATATTATTTCTAACTGACAATGCTCAAAACAGACTAATTGTGGGTTACCCTACTACCGGCGAAAAAGTTTCTCCGTAATCAAAACTGAATGTTTCAACACAGGCTTTCGCAAGTAGTGGAGCTTTATAGGTCTCTAGTTTACCTTGCTAATTCTTTCTTAATGCGAGCATTAATTAAAGTCACGTACCTTTTTTTCGAAGCGGTTCCTATTCTCTTTTAATAGCTTTCACCCATGTAGGTGATTGTCTCTTCTCCCTTGCTCCTTTTACAATGTATGGCGTATATTCTACAGTTGTCACTGTGTTATACGCTTTTTTAGACAGCCCGATTTTCCAGTACGTGAACATCTTGGTCACGGTAAAGCTATATTTCGAGGTACTACTTCTCCATCCCCTTTCGGACTTTTGTAATCGTCATCTTTACTACCACGAATTTCTATATTTTTAATTTTTATTTTTTGGGTAACTTCTTTTCTTCATTGTTTAAATCTTTTAGCTTAGTATATACTTTTGATTGTTCTGAATAGTCGACCAATATACAATGTTTAGTTTTCGGTAAAAATTTTGATTTTATTTGTTTATCCATCGCAACAACATTACTGCGAAAAGTTCAAAAAGTACGGAATGGCATTCCTTAGCAGCACATAAACATTATACCCCTTTACTATTCTCTATTATGTAACGAGCTATTTGTAGTATGGTTCGATTTGCTCGTTTCGCCATGCGATTCTGTTAAGATGTATGCGTAACCGTCAATCCATGTTTTATACAATTTGTCTTTAAAAATTCGTGAAACTTTTTGTTGATATATTCTTTGCCATTATCATTGCTGAGACTTTTTTCATTTTCCAGTCCACAATTCAGCCACTTCCGTGTGTAGTTTTAATAAATCGAACGGTTTTGATTTATGCTTCAAGAAATCAGCATAATGTTTTGAAAAATCATCTATGAATGCATCCCCTTTGTTGGGCCACAAATATTTGCGTTAAAAACTTTTAATAGAGTATTTGCTTTCATATTTGAATTGACGTTAGAGGGCATAACGACCTTTGATATTTGCACCAATACCTTTAACCATGTCTTTCATTTTTAAAGTATGTTAATCCTTAGAATTACGATGTCCATATCTTAAAAGACTTTTGAAATTTTTCGACCATTATCGAATTTAAAAAAAATATGCCGTTTTGTAAAATAGCTCCAAACATAAACCTAATGTTCCCTTTAACAATAGCAGATTTATTTCTAGACAAAGTAGATAAACTTTCGCTTAGCATCTTGTCCACCGATGAAATATATGATGAATGTATTTCCGATACAAAAAGAACTCACGTAAAGCAATATCGATAGTGGCATTTTTTATTTCTATTTTCCCTGTAGCAATTGCTTATTCATCTGTTTCAAGCATGACTTCTTGAACAAGATTTTTCAAATTTAAAAAATAACCGCATATGAGACGATGCGTCACTGTCAATGATCCGCTGGTAACTGCTTCATTTCGATGCCGGGTGTGATGTCTCACTCGTCGTCCCGACGATGTTCTTTTTCCAAAATTGTACTTCTTAAACGTTCCAGGCAAATTGTCTTGAGCTACTATCGCGACATCAAAATTTTCTATTTAGCTAGGAACACTGCATAGAGACAGGACACTGATTATGTATTCCGTTAATTAGGTTTCAGATTTGAGTTTCAGTTTTGGTTTATGTACGCACAAGAGTTGAGGGGAATGCTCTCTGTTTGATCTGGCGTAAGCAAAATTGCTCACGCATTATTGATTGCTTCGATTTAATATTGGTTGTTTAGAGAAGCAGCTAAAAATTGATAATATAATAAATTGAAAATAAAATTC